TGCAAGTTATGGACATGGGCTGCATCTCTAACAAGTGGAAGTAGAAGAATACATTTTTTGGGTTTTATTTTTCTAATAAAACAGAAATGAACCTTTTATGCAATGTGTGCAAAATGAAATAGAGGCAACTGGTTGTGTTTAAAAGTCATCCAATTAGTAAACAGAGTCCAACTGGGCTTAAGGAAAATTAAAACTTTTGTGAGCCTTTCTAATTTTGAGGACCTGTGCTCAACCAGTGACTTTATGCTAAATCACTGCTTCATTCTCACATATTTTGACTTCAAATCTCACATCTGCCGCATGAGGCAGGAGTTCAAGTTGAAGAATAGGTCACACTGTTACATAACCGTTTCGGTTTCATTCACCTCACTGATGGCATTACATCAAATAGCTTCTCTGGCTTATACTTTTTGGCGTTCACACTCTATGTATGGGCCCCTGAGAACTGATGAACAGGTGTCTTCCGAAAAAACCTCCCAGCATTTTATGGACTGTCAGATGTGTCTTTGGGGCCGGCAGTCACTTTGACGACTGCTGCTACTAAGTTGAGTCTCTGAGGGTACAAGCATTGGGATCTCATTTCTAATTCAGTGTACGTACAAACTGAGTCAACTAAAGTTTAGGGCATGATCTATGGAGTAATCTGTTTCTGATTTGAACTTCTTTCCCTATATGTTTAAAGGCTCAAGAGTATACAATCAGAAAATCACCTAATATTATGCTATGGGTGCATTGAGTCAGCCGGGCATTAGTTGATGCCTGATTTTAGAAGGAATAAGAAAAGCAAACAGATAGTTGTGTTTACTAAGAAAAGCATCAAAACTGTTTGTACAATGTACAAATCGTACGGATACGTTCTCATCATTTGGATAATGAAGAGCATAAAAAAATGAATCTCTCTGAGGGACCGCTGGCCTCTAAGTGGATATCCAAAAACATCTGCTAATGGAACCATTACCTTAAAGGGCTGAGGAGAGGGGCTGAAGGCATATTAATTTGTCAGAAGCTGTCACAGTCAAATGACGCAGAATCCCTTATAAATCACACTCATACTGCAATTTCAGTTAATTCTTGGCACATCCTTTGTACAGCGTATTCGTCCAGATCAGCTTTGTGTTCCTGGGCCAAAAGCATAGCTCGTCCTGGCGGAAAACTGTTTGCTTTGGCCAGCTGTGTCACACTGATGACTGAAAAAATGTCAGCTGCAGCCAGTGATTTGTTTTAAAACTCTGAATAACTTTTCCCACTAAAATAATAAGAAATAAGCAAATAAGCTTCTCTATTGTTGTTCTGTACTTAAAACAGGGACACAGAGATGTATTAAACTAAAGTAGATCTTTTGCTGGTTACCTGCAGTTGATTCTGAATTCATCTCTTCTTCAGTTTAATATAAAGAAAACCTTTTCCTTTTTAAATCATACCTTCCCTGTTTGATTTAACACTGCTCAATAAATAAGAGGAGGGGGTAAGGATTTATTCAGCTCTTCTCGTAAAAGCGTGACATGACTGCTGAACCAAAACAGGGGCCCTCAAAGGGAAAACTTAACAGTAAAACATATCTGGATGGATGAAAAATGACTTTTCTTGGAAAAGGGAAACATCTTGTAGAGATGTTTCTCCACTTCACATCTTTTGCTCCTTCTGCCTCAGGATCAAATGATTTCTTCTCAATAAGAAGAACTTAGGCTCTTCCTCGCTTTGCTGGCCTAAGTAAAAAGAATTGTTTCCACTTTAGTGAGTTTTTTATGGAAAACGCTACGTTTTTTGTGCCTTAACCAACTTAAATCTAATTAATTAAGCATGTAGATGGTCAAATTATTTCCAAACTATCACAAAACAAAATAAAGTGAAAAGTGCAGCTTTCTACACTGCAAAAACAACATTTCATAGATCAATTGTATTTTACTCTTAATCTGAGTATGTAAATAAGATGATTTGCAAAAGGAATGAGTATTTTTACTCTTAAAATAAGATAATTAGATATTATGCAAGACAATGAAATTGCTTTTTCTTCTTTTAAAAGTAAATTGTCTTGTTGCATTGACTAAGTGTCTCACTTACCTCTTCAATTCAAGAACAAATGCACTTATTTTAAGTAAAAACTACTAATTCAGATTAAATTATTTTCCAGTGTATAATCCAGGGCAGATCTTGGAGGCATTCTACAAAAGTATAAATACATAAGCGCATACATTTTTAGCACAGATGGTCTCAACAATTATTTGATTTACTCAAATGCTTCACCTAATCCAATCCAAAGGGGAAATAATGGGAATATTCGATCTTTGATAAAAGAAAGTGTCATTCTGTGGCTTTAAATGAAATTATGAAGGGAAATATTGTGTGTTATCAAGAGTACTTCAGGGTCTTTTCTCATACTGCAGATGGATGATGTATTCAGAGCCGTTGTATTTCCCTGTCTGGTTGTTGAAACCTCTCAACCGGTCATGTTCATCTGTAGCTGAAACTAACAGCTACAAAACCAGTTTCTAAAGGTTTGGTGTGATGCCGGAGAGAGGAATAGACCCCATGTTGGACGAGCTTTGCAATTAAGAACATAAAAGTATTTATTGCTGCTATAAAGATGTGTATTCTGAAAGCTCTGAAATTTCTTTCATCTTTTATTTACTTAATCTTAAAACTGCCACTTTATTTAAGCCCAGCTTTGTGGAATTATAACATAATAACTACTGTCTTTATCAGAAGAGCATTCCTGCCAATATCTATCAACATCTACATCAACTTGTTGAAGAATAAAAAAATGAGTACAACATTTAATCCCTCTTTGGGGTTAATAAAGTATTTTTGATTGAATTTGCTTTGAATCAGTGCAGCTGATATTGTGAGATCTTTTACAGACAGGAAAGGAACATTATTACATCAGAGTTAGTGTTTTATAAGCAGGTAGATGAGCAAATGGGTGGATTTAAAATAGCTTGATAAGTGATTACGTACAAATAGGGATGGCTTAACGAACCTGCCACAAAGTGAAATATATTAGGAAAAAGTTTGGGCACAACAATAGGCTTGTGTTGCTAAATCCCTTCATATGTGAAACCATTCATGTGTCTATAGGAGGTGTTGGATAAATAAATCATGACATCAAAAAACCTCACCTTGCATCTTACAGCTTGGGGCCAGATATTACAGAACACCTTTACGGAGGCAGAGGAGCCAATGCCTTAATGGGTTGCAATATCTTTTGCAACAAATAACTGTTTTCACTTTAAATGCATTCTGTAAATAGACACGTCTTACAGCAAAGGTCTGCACAGTAAATAGCCACATTTTCAACCAGCTCACAGGTATTTTTCTAAACAGAAACATATTATTTTGCATGTAAAATAATCAACATTATTTTACGTTTGTTAAAAACAGAAGGGAAGGATTTGGCTCTTTTGTTGTATGTCTGCAAACTATTCTCTTAAGAATCCTCCCTTAACTCATTTCTGGTATTTCGGCATCAATTTGCACTTTGTGTCCATGAAACTGAACGTCCCTTCCATTTCCCAAAGCTTTCCCAGTTGTGTGCTGTTGGTTGTAGCAGATTGTCCCACCAGACTGTTTGCAAACGGATCCAAAGGATAAACTGAACTTGCACTGACAGAGTTATGTTTAAATATTATGTTGAGGTCTTTGATATTTGTTTTGGTTCTCCAAGGATGTGAGACAAACAGACAGATATTTTTGACCTCACATCATAATGACTGTCATGTCAGGGTGGAAACTTTTAAACAAAATAATTATTCAAAATAATATATATTTTTTAAACTCTCTTAGGCCTAATTGTTAAGAAAATCTGTTTCATCAAACATTAACTGAACTTAAATGTTGTCTTTGGCTACTTAATGAAGTCAAAGGAATTTGTGACAGCCAAGGAAGTTGAGGTCGACAGTTCAGCTCACAGTGTAAAATCTGCTGCACTCCATCATGTCTGCACCAACAAAACGTCTTGCGCTACTTAAATATTATTCCCTGGAGCCAGTTTCACATTATTTAAGTTTGGTGATTGAACACAAAGAACTTCCTGGCCTACTTCATGGTATGGTCAGACCACTGCAGTCAGGAGAATATGGGTCCTTTAAAAAGAGAGTTTAGAATCTATAAAGTTAGCCCTCCCTGAAAGTTGAACATGAGATCCATACAATATATTCTGGGGGGGTGGGGGGGGCTTTGCTTTATGAAAAAAAAAATTATAAATAAAAACACATATTATTTGATTCAGGCTGTAAATACCATAGAAGTACAGTATGTTTGCAGCCAAAATTAACTGGTATGTCTATGGGATCATGGAAATGCTTACATGAATCTTTATTTCCCTCTAGTGTTTTGAATATGAAAATGCATTTAGATTTGATCTTATTTCCTTCCTTGAAAAAAAAAATCGTTAAAAAAGCATATTGTCTTTTTTTTCTATACATGGGTAGTGTCCTGTCTATTTTAGAGCTCATAATTGTCTTGTATTTCTTAAAAATAATAATAATAATAATAATAATAATAATAATAATAATAATAATCTGTTTGTAAACTGCAAGAAGAATTATGCCGAGTTATTTCCATAGATTGTAACACTTTAGTGAAATATAGTCAAGATAGACAAAGAAAAAAAAAGAATTTGCATGTGCGTTACATTTATATTAATTTTGCGTCTTTTCTCTGAATAGAGGCTGCACAAAAGGATACAAATGATCAGAGGTCCAACTCTGTTGAATAAAATAAGTCAACGACAAAAACAATGCAGAAGCTTTGTTCCATAAATATTTTAAAACAAATGAAATGTTGTTACAGGTTGGTGGTTTTTTAGTGTAGAAAACCTGGGTTGTTTATATTTTTTAATATTTAGAGCAGCTGTTACCACAATAGCTGTTCGGCTCCGGTTTGGTATCAATGCGCTACAGCTGTAGAAATAGACGATCTTTGTCTGGTCTAGGCGATCTTCACAGAGACGTCGCTTTCAACTCAGGCGTGGCTTTTTAAATGGGTGTGGCGGTTTATGTGGGGAAGTGGCATTCACCAGTGAGTGGGGTGATGAACCCACATCATGCAGAAGGAATCATCATCAGAAATCTGAAGAGGAAGGGCGGAAAAATCCCGGTGAAATGGAACCATAGTGACTGTTCTGCAGTGTTTTGGGGAAAGTGAAAGTCTAAGAAGCAGGATCAACGGAGTTTACAGGACAGAATAGAGGGAAAATAGTTTTTCCATTAAGGTGAGAAGGTGTATGGTACAATTTAAAGAAATATATATTTGTATTTGTATCGGGTTAAGAGATATTGCATGTTGAAATGCTGGTAGTCATAAATAAACAACCTGGTTCTTTGAAACAGCTGTTATTCTAAGGCTGGCTGTCTCAGTCTTATCAGTAATATAATGACTATAGGTGTTGAAACTGTTTTCTCTCCAGGAAATTGCTAAATTTCTCCAAAGATGTTTGTTGATCTAAAGATTGCAGTTTCTTATTCCTGAAAAATGTTAGTTCTGTAATTGGCTGTTAGTACAGGCTCAGCCCAAATGCTCCTTAAAAATCCTTTATTAAATACTTATTTAACTGTTTCACATTATGGCATGAAAAACCTACAAGTTTTAAGATAATTTACCCGAACTTTATTTTACACACCAAGGCAGAGAAATGTGTTGCAATCATATGGTTGGGAATTTAATTTAACTAAAGCTTATTACACTGACCTCTTTACCTCTCTCAAAACAGAGGATGTCATTAAACATAAACAAACAAAGGAGACAATGATGATGTAATGGTCCTTGGGAGCAGATACCCAATGGGGCTGCTGGAAAGCTGAGGAAAGTGAACCAAAAAGTTCTTCTATGGACAGGCTCTGATAAGAGACAAAGCTAGGGGCAGAGTATCCTGTGTGAGGGTACTTGGACATCACATTGGACATTAAGCTGATTTAGCACAGGGTAGCAACATACTATATCCCAATGATAGCCAGAGCTCTGATTCCCAAAGATTTGGAAGATGTCAGCCAATTTAAAGGTTGTCATTATAGCTAATCTAGAATTTTAACAAACTCACCAAATGTAGTTTTTAGTATGTAAACCCAAAAGTTTACTTTTGGTCTCATCTTATTGGAGCTTTTTTGCTGCATGTGTGCTGTCCTTTGAAAACAGGACTTTTCTTCTATAAAGGCCAGGTTAGCTCCATGCATGGGTAATTTACATTGAATTTTAATGTGTTATTGCTTTTGTCAGATGAAAGTTATTTTATTTTACCATTGTGGGGTTTTTCTTTCATGAAGAGTACCATAAATTGTAAAAAAAAAAATATGTGTATATTTTCTATAAAATAAATAGGTATTTTTTTTCCTAAAACCTTTGCAAGGCAATATAAAAAGCCGTTGGTTAAAATGGCTGAAAGCCATGTGTGATTAAAAATGAATTTTATTTCTACATAAATATTGTTTTATATTGTTGTGTTTTTTTGGCAGAAGGATGGGGCTGCTGCAGTTTTTAAAATCCCAGTTTTTGTGCCACCTGATCATATGCTATGTGTTCCTGGTGAGCGGGCTTCTAATCAACCTGATACAGCTCTGTACCTTACCTCTGTGGCTGATCAGTAAACAGCTGGCCCGCAGGATTAACATCAGACTGGGCTACTGCATCGCGAGTCGTAAGTACCAATCCCCCCCATGCAACAAAGACGATACTGTAATGGGTTTTCTGTTAGTTCTTTGTTTTCTCAGAAACTGAAAGAAGGCACTGATGGTGCAACAGTTGAGGTTAAAAAATCATATTTGTCATTGCAAAAGAGTAATTTTAAGAAGCATAGTCTCTGATGAGGCATTTTTTTTGTGTATCAATATAGTTATAACAATTTATATACATTTAATAAAGTACAGATGATGTACATATTATTGACAAAAGATTAAATTCATGGCCTTTTTTTAGTGTTACCACTAAAACAAGTGTTTAATTTGTTAAAATAGGCAGTTATGTCCTGAAGGCGATTACACCTCGGAAATTCCCTTCCGGTTCTTTTCCTGTGAGAAAGCTACTTGGTTTAATTACTATTAATTCAAAAAACTTGGTAAAACTATATACAAATGACTATAAAAAGGAGGGTAAAAATTAAGAGTTTATTCCAGTTCAGATCGTTACAGGGCAGAGAAATTGCTTGGAGTTGGAATAAACCTAACAAATTCTAACTAATATCAGTATTATTTTACTAAATTAATTTATATAATAAAATGTAAGTTCAAGTTCGATGTTTTTTTTCTTTATTTTAGGCTTTACAGCATGCAATATCTACCGGTTTTGTTTCTTTGTCAAAGGGAAAATTACCTCCAAAAACACCATGAGTCTTCAGTAAACCCATAGTAGTGGTTCTGTGATCTTCTTTCTAAATTTACTTGCAACTTTTGTAACTCGGCAGTTGACTGTAATTATTCTAGACAAAAAAAAACCTTAAGATTGTTCTTTTTTTCTTTCTTTTTTTTTTACAGTAATCATTGCACTTTTTTAACCTAATATAAATTTACTGCAAATATTTTTTCTTTTTCTTGTCCAACTGAATTCAAGATATAGTCCCTAAGAACAACAGCCCTTTTTTTGTTTTGTTTTTTACAAACAGAGACACCTTATCTTTGTCTTCAGTAAATAAATACTCAAAGTTGGGTTGAACCACATGAGGAGATTGGATTGTGATATCATTTCTTCCACCACTCTCTGTGCCCTTTAGCGTCTCTTGCACTGTTGCACTGAATAAAAAATCTATGGTGACAGGATGAATACCATTTTTCATGCAAAGTGTAAATTCATAACAATAGAAAACAATGACCCAGAAGTGCTTCAGTTCCAACAGTCCTTTTAACTGCCGACACAGAAACTTCTCAGTCAAATGTCTTTGACAATGTCTTGTTTGTGATTCAAAGCTTATATGCGCAACTTTATTTATACCTGCCTTACTGTTTGCTAATTGCTAACAGCTTCAGTTAAATTCCCATTTAAGTTTTTCAATATAATTTGTTTTTACCAAAATACATTTCGAATTTAACCATTATAGATAAATGAATTATTTTGAAAATGTTAATATTTAACCCAATGAAAACATTCTTTTTATATTGTGCACTTATTCTTGCCTATTTATGTCGATGTGTCCCAATGATCATCAGAGATGGTAGCAGTATTGGAGTGGTGGTCTGGAACTGAATGCACGCTTTACACCGATCCAAAGAGTTACCAACTCTATGGGAAAGAGAATGCTATTGTAGTCCTCAACCATGCTTTTGAGATAGACTTTCTGTGTGGCTGGACCTTCTGTGAGAGATTTGGAGTTCTTGGGGTAAGATGAAGCACTGCTGAGAACCTCATTTTTTTTTTTGTTTTTTTTTAAACTTTTTTCAGTAACAATCTTTTCTCATTACATTCCAAACTTCTAGAGTTCAAAAGTGTTGGCCAAACAGGAGCTCTCCTATGTCCCCGTGATTGGATGGATGTGGTATTTCCTTGAGATAGTTTTCTGCAAAAGGAAGTGGGAGGAGGACCGGACAAATGTGGCTCGGAGTCTGCAGAACCTGCGGGATTACCCTGAAAACTACTGGGTGGGTCTCAGCCTGTGTGGATATTTATTGTTTGTTTGTTTTTGTAGAAAGATAAGATGATATAATGGTACCTTTCAGTCAGGAAACATTTGTGATAAGTCCTAATGGTTTTGTTATCTCCCACCAGTTCCTACTTCATTGTGAAGGAACACGTTTCACCCCAAAGAAACACCAGATCAGTATGCAAGTGGCTGAAAGCAAAGGTTTACCTCAACTCAAGTATCATCTCCTGCCCAGAACAAAAGGATTCTATATAACTGTCCAAAACCTGAGGGGGACCGGTAAGTAACTGGCAGATGTTTTCTGTTTTGCACGCCGTCCTCTGCAATGTGCATACTGAGAGCCTTTTTTGAATGTGGGAAGGCCAGTTAAATGTGCAAATGAGTCGCCTCGTCCAGTGAACCACCGCTTTGTGCTTCTCTGGTGCAGTTGCAGCAATATACGACTCCACACTGAACTTCAGGAACAATGAAGCACCGACCCTTCTAGGAATTCTCAATGGAAAGAAATATCATGCGGATTTATACGTCAGGTAAGACAAAATGGTGCGCAGAGGTATGGGGCTACATTACAAGTCAGGATTCTCTTTTGTGTGACTGGTCTTTTTCCTTCCTATCTGATGTAGGAGAATTCCTTTAGAGTCGGTTCCAGAAGATGAATCAGAGTGTGCTGCTTGGCTGCACAAACTATACCAGGAAAAGGTGAGTATTGAGGATTTAAAAAGGAGCTGATGGTAGACATGGTAGGCCACCCAGAACAGCAGATATGAATTTAAATAGAATTGGAAGACATCCTATAAATTGGTAAAGGCAGCATTGTCTGAAGCTAAATAAATAATACGTTACCTTTTAGAAATCAATTATTAAGTATTCATAAGTACAAACCAAATGATCCAATATGTTTACTATTGAAGAAGACATAAAGGTCACGCTGTGCTGTTTGGGGCTTTAATGCTGCTGCTGCCATGCTTCTCCTTACTGTTTAATTATTATTATTCATAAACACAGAGGATGGAGGCTTAACTCAAATGTCACTGAGTCACAATGTTTTTTGTTTTCAAAAAGGAAATTTAGGCTAAAGCAGTACAGGATTTATTACTTTAAAATGATTTCTTGCAAACTATTTGCTTGTTTGTTTAATGATTTCAGATCTGAAGATGCTTTTTTTTTCCTTTTCTCTAATAGAAATGCTTTCTTAGAAAGGAAGCTCAGGTTTAGTCTTGAACATCCACTAAAGTTTTTGCATCGAAGCTAAAAGAGCAAATAAAGACTTCTGACCCCTGACTTCTCTCAGGATCACGTTACAAACCTAGAAAGGGCTGCACTTTTGCAGAAGAGCAGTGCATGCAAACCTGCACACCACCAGCATGATTAACTCTGAAAACCTAAATATGGATATTTTATTATGGATATAAGGAATAGATTATAAACCTTAAGCACAACAAAAGATGGCATGAATGACTTGTGCCTCAAGGTAATGATGTATAAGACTGTAAGGATAATTATCATTGATGATGTGTGAGTTTATTACACCTTAATATTAGCTGCCTTTTGTGTGTTGGAACTGATGTTTTCCACAATAATTTATCTAATTAAGACAGTTTCTCTGTCTGGATATACAGTTAAAATCTTCATTCTGTAAGTGGCAAAGATTTGAGAATAGAATGAGAGCGGTGTCCTTCAGCTAAGAACAAAGTGTGATGTTTTGATAGATGTATAAAATGCCTTTTTAACTGTAAATCAGGGCCACTTCCTGAGAGGTGAGCCCGGAGGTGAGCAGCTGTCTTCTTTAAATTCTAAGAAACTTTTCTGATCTGAGTAAGATTACAATTTCTATCAGAATCTGCTGTCATGTCTCCTGGTTATTTAATGCATATAAGTTATGAAGAACCTGAGAAAGAAAGCTCCAAGGTGGAGACACACAGAGAGCCTTTCACAAGACACTATAGTCTACCTCTCTTAATCTCCAATTTGGTGTCTGAATAACCCTTGAAAAAATTACACTCAGGAACAAAACTGCCACAACAGAGAAAAAAAAACAGGCCATCCAAACTACAGGAGCTGTTAAAAAGGAGGTGTCAGCATTTGCTGACCATGCAGAATGTAACAGCTGACTTGTAAAATATAGAATACTGTAATTTTTGCTTTGAATTGTATCTTTAGTTTTGCATTGTGTACTTCAAATTCAGTCATCTTTTAACTAGCTCATCACACACAGATATTTTGAACAAAGATACTCATAAATACACTCATTTTAGAAAACAATCTTTCTTGATTTTCTTTTTTTTTTTTTTTGTAGCTAAGGAGACTCTATTAGTTGACAGTTCAGATTCCCTCTTTTCTTGTCCTGGTAGGAGGAGGAGGAAAAGAAAATAGGCATCATGGCTATAAAAACAGCCATTTCATTTCACCAACAAAGCTTCTATTCAGTTGATTGTGTTATTTGGAACAGGATGGCTTTCAGGAGCAGTATGCACAGACGGGCCGTTTCCCTGGCCCTATCACAAGCCCTCCTCGTCGGCCCTGGTCCCTGATCAACTGGCTCTTCTGGTCCTGCGTAGTCCTGTACCCTCTAGGCCTCCTACTCGCCCAGCTGCTCTCGTCTGGATCGGTTTTCACCATCGTCACCGCTGTGGTTGTCTGCTCTGCAGGTTGGTTTCAGACATTTCCTGGTGCATCTTAATAAAATATTTAGCAATCAAAATATTTCCGTTGAGAAATTACAAGTCAAATATAATACCTCAAAGCACAGTGATATATGCCACAAGTTTAGTTCTGGTCATTTTTATCTGTGCTAATTTTGGAATTAAGAAAACAAAGTAGTCAGATAAAACACATTTAACTTTTTTTTTCTTTACTTTTATTTGGAACAGTACACTTGTTTTGTTGTTGTTTTCCTTAGTAAAAGGCATGTCACTGGTTCAGTGGCCTAAAACAAGGAATGCAATAGTTATCTATGTATTTGATATGACTGTCTGTGATGGTGTTGAGGCACAAAATCGTGCTGCAGACCACGTCTCCACCAAACTATTGCTTAGTTGTTCTTGTATTGTTTGTTTTTTAACTGTATGCCATAATTTCTGAAATTACCAGGAGCACTAGAGATATATATTATATATATATATATATATATATATATATATATATATATATATATATATATATATATATATATATATATATATATATATATATTATTTCACTCGGCACAATGATTCTATGCAATATCTGCATTTCACTTTTTGTTATTTTGTTATATTTCAGGAAAAAAAAATAATTTTTTGTGATGTTCTAATTCATTGAAGTTTGGGTGTATGCTGTTGATTTAATCTGCCCCTCTGTTTAAAAAATTTACTAAGCAGCAGATTTGTCATCACCAATGTAAGTTACCGTTTTCCTGCAGAGTTTGATGTCTTTAAGCATGTCTTTATATTCATCTATTTGGGAAAAAAAGTATATAGAAAAAAGATTTTCTGTTAAAGCACAAACTCCTTAAAAGCATGTTGCAGATTTCGCGCTTGATGCTCGTTTCCGCCTGTCATTGAACTGAAAACTACAACATTTTAGATTTAGCTTAAAGTTATAGATTTTTCTCGTTACACAAATATACCAATCTTAATACGCAGGATATCTAATTTACTATTTTATTTCTACAAATAAAATGATCCAATTCTCATTAGAAGGAGACTTTCTTTCAGTCCTGTGTCCTAGCATGAGGGACTAGTATACTGAGAATTACAACATTTATATTTTGTGTTTATTTACTTCACGTTGACTTTATTGATCTCACAGTGTAGAAATGTACTTATTACATCAGCTCAATAGTCAAAAATAAGGTACCCAAAAGTTGTTGCACAAGTTATTGCAGTTATAGTGCTGCATATTAAAATGGACCTTGACCTGTTCCCTGCAAAAACTACCACCAAGATGACTTTATGCAGCTAAGAAGTCTTTATTTTCTTTCCTAGTGTCGATGGGAATGCGCTGGATGATCGGCCAGACTGAGATTGAGAAAGGGTCAAATTACGGGATCAAGGCAGCTCCTGAGAACAGCAATTGAGGAGTGCTGCCGTCTTCAGGGCTGTTTCTGTGAAGATCCAAAAATCTGTAGGCGGCAAGCTGCATGAATGAACAGGTGAACAGCAACTTGGCTGGTCCAACAAGTACAGACCTGCTGCACTGAGGCAGGAAGCAGCCAGGCTAAAAGGTATGCTGCAGAAGCTGAAGTGGGAGTTTAACAAATGAGAACAGGGTGCTGGTTATGAGTGGAAATATTTTAATAGTACAAAGGAAATATCATCAGCTGTAAAAGAGAAAGCTAAAAATGTAAACAAGTCAAATATGGACTACCTCTTTGATCAAAGTGTACGCCAAATGGTTTTTGCATTTGTAGAGAATAAAATTTTTTATAAAGACTTTTTGTGTGCGACTCTAATTTAAATATCAGTAAATAAACTTTACATGATCAGTTACTTAGGTTAGAGCCTTTTTCTCTTCCTTATTTGGCTTGCTGCAGTAAAATCAAACCAACAGCGGTGGCATTTCCAACAGTACCTGAAGGCATTACCTTGACTTTTAAACCCTTAGCAAAGGCAAAGTGAAATATCACACTGAAAATGTTCACAAAAATTAGAAGAGACACTGCAGTTTATGCTCCAGTTTTCACTTTGAGTGTACTTTACAAGATGTATTCAATTTTAGTACATAATTGCTTTAAACAGCTCAGTGATTTAGACTAAAACACATTCTCAAAAGTTTTTTTTTTTCTCTAAATTTAGCTGTAGGCTTTAACTGGGCCATTATATAAAACACAAACCTGTTTTGATCTAAAATCAGGTTGGTCAAACTTGTGAACTTCTGGCGAAGCAACAGGCGTTGGAAATGGGTCAGGATTTTACGGTTTCAACCATCCTTTTAAAAAAACGGAGCGCTCTAAGAAACAAAATTGTGTCTAATTAATTGAGGTTGACGTTCAATGTTAAAAAAAAAAAATAAATCACTCATAAGAAAAGGTGGGAGATGATGCCTGGCTAAGTGTCCCTTATTTTTTTCAAGGTGTTTCCATCCCAATGCTGTATTTAGTCATTAGTAACAGATGGGTGTCCCCAAGTCTGCTTTGGAGTAGATCCCAATGAATGTTTGTGGCCATTTTTACCAACAAAACTAAAAGCAATAATCATGGATTTTAATTTTTTTGATAGAAATTAGGCTTAATCTGTTCATTAGAATGACTCCATGGAACTGGACTGTCATTCAGCCACTTGAAAGCAATGTCTAAACGGTGCAGGAAACCAGACCTCATGGGTCCGAATTTAAAAACTCCTGGTTTAGGGTTCAAGTCATATTTACTGTTCAGCCGATTTTTGAAAGCAGTAATGAATATTATCTAAGCTTTACGTAGATGCCAAATAATGACACTTTTTCAAATTGTTTCTTAATTAAAGCCTGAAATTATTACATTAGTTCCTTCCCCCTAAAATGTATATACTCCTTTGTGTTACAAAAAAGTAGAGTAGATACCACAAAGAAGTCGATATTACAAAATTCAAGAGATACTCTGCAAAAAAATGTAAATCTAAGTTGTTTTTTTCTTATAATAAGGGCTTTTTTTCATGAATTAAGCAGGTAACTGAGACGCTTTGCCAATGGAATAAGGCAATTTACATTTAAAAATAAGGAAAGAAAATTGCTGTCTCTTATTTCAAGTGCATTTTATCTAATAATGTTATTTTTAGAGTAAAAATACTAATTCCATTGACAGATCATCTTATTTTCTTACCCAAATTAAGGGTAAATACACTTATTTTAAGAATTTTTTTCTAATTTTCAGAACATTTTTGCAGGGCAGAGATAGATGTGCAAGAATGTGTGTGGAATCTGTTCTTCTGGCTTCTTTAAAACCTAAACAAGTTTACTACATAGCAAATATGCTTAACATTAACATCCGTTGTTGACGGTAGAAACAGAAGTTTGTTTAGATTCTACAAATGCTTTTCTGATTTCCCATAAGAGTCTAGGCTTAACCTATCTGTGATACAGACGCAGACTATGGTGAGTTTGTCTGTTCCTGTTTGGCC